GTGGGGCTGGGGTTGTGGCTCAGGGGTAGAGCGCTTGCCTGGCACATGTGAGGCCCTGGGTTCGATCCTCAGCACTACGTACAAATAAATAAAATAAAGGTATTGTGTTCACCTACAACTAAAAAGAAAAAAAAAGGCATTGAGTCTGTTAAATTTTTTTTTAAAGAGAGAGAGAGATAGAGAATTTTAATATTTATTTTTTAATTTTTGGCGGACACAACATCTTTGTTTGTATGTGGTGCTGAGGATCAAACCCGGGCTGCACGCATGCCAGGCGAGCGCGCTACTGCTTGAGCCACATCCCCAGCCCTCTGTTAAATTTATTAAATTCTTTTTAACAGGAATTTGGTGATGTACTCTTTTTTTTTAGTTGTAGTTGGACACAATACCTTTATTTTTCTTATTTATTTTTATGTGGTGCTGAGGATCAAACCCAGGGCCTCACACGTGCTAGGCAAGCATTCTACCCAAGGACTCTACCGCTGAGCCACAACTCTGGCCCTGGTGATGTACTCTTGATGTCATGTTATGTTCTCCAAAGTGGCAAAATAACACTTTGGAAAAACTATCATGAAGATAGACCTTAGAAAATAGGTACTATAGCCAGGCACAATGGCGCACGCCTGTAATCCCAGTGGCTCGGGAAGCTGAGGCAGGAGGATCACCAGTTCAAAGCCAGCCTCAGCAAAAGCAAGGTGCTAAGCAACTCAGTGAGACCCTGTCTCTAAATAAAATACAAAATAGGGCTGGGGATGTGGCACAGTGGTTGAGTGCCCCTGAGTTCAATCCCCAGTACCCTCCAACTCCAAGAAAAAAAGAAAGAAAATAGGGACTACAAAATGACTGATGTTGACAGGAACTCATTCCAGGCCAAAAGAAGGCAAGAGCAGAGGAGGCATGGATGACATAGGTGGCCTGAGTGACTGACTCCAGATGAATCCATCTCAAATCAGAACCCAGAACTAGGATGTCATTCTAAGGCCCATCCAAGATTACACCCACAGAGCTATGGGGAAGAGGAATATTTCTGAACATTAATGTCCTCTGACACCACCTCCACTTGACCCTCTTATTCTTAAACCAAAACTTTAATGGGGGGGCGGGAAGAAAGGGGATTGGTTTATCATATTGAACAATTAATGTCATAATAAAAAAAAAAAAACTCCACAACATGCAAGTCTTTACACCATTGAAAGTTTAGACTCCACAGGAATAAGCTATTTCCTTATTGATAAAATACTTTTTAATTTTTTTTTAGTTGTAGATGGACACAATACCTTTATTTATTTATCTCTATGTGTGCTGAGGATCAAACCCAGGGCCTCACACATGCTAAGCACGCGCTCTACCACTAAGCTACAACCCAGCCCCTTATTGATAAAATATTTTAGGGGAGTTATCACTGTTTCCCTTCAGTTCAGGTTGGGACTAGGTTAATTGCTTTGTCTTTCCTTCCGTCTGTAAATTCTTTAGTAATTTTTTCCTATTCTTGAATTCAAGCCCAGCTGACACACTGTACTCTGTTCCAGCAGTTAATGCTATGCCTGGTAACATACTGAAGAAATGATCCTGAGAGCTGACCATTGACCATCAGGTGTTCAGATGTTTTTGGTCCTTCCTATCACCCTGACTGTGGGGGAAGAGCATAAGGTGGGACGCATTTAAAGTGGCAGTGCCTGCCTGTAATCCCAGCAACTTGGGAGGTTGAGGCAGGAGGATTACAAGTCTGAGGCTAGCCTCAGCAACTTAGGGAAAGCCTGTCTCAAAATGAAAAATAAATAAAAAGGGCTGGGATTGTAGTTCAGCAGTGAAGCATTCCTGGGTTCAGTCCCAAGACCTAAACAAACAAAGGAAACAAACAAAGAAACAAAAAGTCATACTATAGAGAACAGCCTATGCGAAAAGCCCAACTTCAGTCTGAAGTAACTAAATAGAAGTGGAATGGATTTTTACACAGGTTTTCTCAAGGATGTCTAAGGAGCCATTTATCCTCTGAAACCTCTTACGAGTAAAAAAAAGATAGTCTGACAAGGAATGCTGTTCATGGGTGACCTGGAGAATTTGTAGCTTGCCTTACCTGTGATTGGAAAAGGGTATTTCAGCCTATAGAGATAAAGCAATTTAGCCAAAGTGGGTCAAAATTTACTAAAACTCAACACAGCCAGATGTGTGGCTCCTTTCCATTACTATACTCAAGCATGCACTGTGGAGCAAAGCTGAATAAACTCATCCTGGAGTTTGCTTCTGGTTTAGAAAAATATTCTCTTAATACAACTGATGGCTTTCTGTGGTGTCAGATAGTAATATTTTGGCCCCTTGACCTACAAATGAGTCACCACTGCCTGAGCCACTGCGAAAGTATTTCAAATTAACACAGGTAACAATCTGGTCTGAATTAAGAGTCTCTACCCATCTCTACCAAATGAATTTCACAGAACCCATTCTTTAAAAATAATACCACCAGGGTTGGGGTTTAGCTCTGTAGTAGAGCCCCCTCCTAGCATATGCTAAGGCCCTGGGTTCAAACCCCAGTGCAAACAAAACAACAAACTCTCAAAATTGAACAAACAAAACCAAAATGACAACAAAAAATACCAGTCGTGCAAGGGGGCTCTGACCCAGGAAACAGATTTGGGGTTGAGCAGATGGAAGAAGATGTAGGAATATTGATCATCCTTTACTTGGAGGCCCCTATAGCCATTAGCCAAGCTCCAGCTTCAGCTTTGCCCCAGACAGTTTCTTTTTAGCCCTTCCTATCCCATTTCCTTGGGCCCTTTTTATATGCAGGCCAAACAAAGAGGGCACATTGTCAACAGGTTACATAATGGGGGGGGGGCACATATTCCCAATTTAATGTTTATGACCTTGAGTCCATATACTGAATCCTGGTGTTTCTGGCCTTGACTAACCATAACAGCTAGTTCCCAGCCCTGGCTATGCACTAAAAACATAACTCACCAGAAGTCTCAAAAACATAATAGCCCACCTGAAGTCTCAGTGAGGGAGCCTAACTAAAGCCATTTTTTGGCCTGCCCCCACAATACCTTTTTTTCAAAATTAAAAACTTTAACCTTGGGCTAGGGTTGTGGCTCAGTGGCAGAATGTTTGCCTGGCACATGGGAGGCACTGGGTTCTATCCTTAGTACCACATAAAAATAAATAAATAAAATAAAGGTATTATGTCCAACTACAACTAAATAATAATAATGATAATAATAATAATAATAATAATAATAATAATAAAACCCTTTAACCGTATTAGACATTAAGAAAATAAAATAGTAGAGACTAGGAGAAAAATACCTTGAGACCATATATCTGACAAAGGTATTATATGTAATACATATAAACGTTCTTATTGTCCAATCAAAAAATACCCTCAGGGGCTGGGGCTGTAGCTCAGTGGTGGAGTGCTTGCCTAGCATGTGAGAGGCACTGGGTTCAATCCACAGTACCCCATAAAGATAAAATAAAGGTCCACTGACAACTAAAAAAAAAATTAAAATATCCTTAGGGGCTGGGGTTGTCACTCAGTGATAGTGCATCTGCCTAGCGCAAGTGAGGCACTGCTTTCAACTCTCAGCACCACATAAAAAAACTAAATAAACAAAATAAAGGTAAAAAAATACCGTTGGATGTCAGAAATTCCTCAAGAGTATTTGTTCAAAAACTTAAATGTGTGCCATATATTCAAGGTATGTATTTGAGTGTATGCAATTTGTCTTTAACCTTTTTGCCCTTCTTAGGTCAGTGTAACTTTATTCTAGATTGGTTTTTTTTTTAATTTTTTTAAGTTGTCAATGGACTTTTATTTTATTTATTTATATGTGGTGAATCAAACCCAGTGCCTCACACATGCTAGGCAAGCACTCTATCACTGAGCCACAATCCCAGCTCTAGATTGTTCTTTTGCTTTCGATATTACACAAATTTCCAGTTTGCTAAACCTTGCCCCCTCCCTTCACAATGTATTTTATCAATGTTTTCAGGCTGACACATCAAACCACTCCAGAAAACTAAAATTTAGGGCTTCCACTATCTACGTTGCTTTACTGAAGAATAAAAACAGAACAACCAAGCACTTAGACTTTTACACTACCCTGCTCATTAATCTCAGAGTTTAACCACTCATATAGTGTGCTGTGTGGGAATTCATTATTCCTTTAACCTGTTGCCTAAACATTTATAAAGTCACTCATTTAGCCAAGCGTCTACACATGATTTAAATAGTTTTAAACAATTTAACAGTGAACTCTCTCATGCCCTAGCTCCTTGGTGTATTAATTTGCCTACTTCCCAGGTCAGACTGAGCCCTAACCTGACTCCACATAGAAGTATTTCCTAAAACAAATCATTATTAGAGCCAGGTGCTGGGAGCCATTAGCCAAGTAGGTATGACAATTTCCTTGCCAGCGTACCCCATGTTGCAGTGACATTGAATGTAGGTGACCTTGCTCAAGGACCAGGGTGGATTAGGGTGTTCCCGGTTTAGGATAATCGGGTTTAGGGCGTTCCAGGTTTAAGATTATTCCTGCTGGGAATAGGGTGTATCCTGCTGCCTGAGTTCCCCTTGAGTTCTCACGGGATTCAGACAGTATATTTTGGGAGACAGAAGCCCAGTGGAGGTGAATTTGGGCAGAGAATGTGGATTTCCCCAGAATGTGATTGTAGACGGCTGGTGTGAGTTCGGGAATAAAGAGTTGCTGTTTGAATCTACAAGCTGTGTGGTGGCTCGTGATTGTGTGCCCAGCCAGACTGCGGCAGCCAGGTGCAATGGCATGTGCCTGTAATCTCAGCAATGGGAGGCAGAGGCAGAAGGATCCCAAGTTCAAAGCCAGCCTCAGCAACTTAGTGAGGCTCTAAGCAACTTAATGATGCCCTGTCCCAAAATTTTAAAAATGGGGAGGACATAAAAGAAAAGGTTGGAATCGTGGCTCAGTGGTTAAAGCACCCCCTGAGTTCAATCTCTGGTATCAAAAATAAATAATAAATAAATACCATTGTTAGAAGTTGAACTTTATTTATATTTTATTCATACATGGAATAAACGGTTTGGTTCTTTATCATTTTTATTTCTTCCATTAATAAGTCATGTTCTTTTTGGTAATGAGAAATTTCCATATGCTCAGGTTTACTTATTTCATTTCTCACTCCCCAACCCCCCCCCATTCAAAACTCATTTCACAAACACGGAAAAGGCAACAAAAACAGCAGCAGCTTGAGAATATCTAGTAGAAAAGTATCTGAAGTCTTGATGCAGGTTTTAGAATGGCTTCTCTGGCAAATTGGGCTTTTCAGGTTTATTGGGCTCCGCTTTGCCTTCAGTAACACTCAGGGGTATTGCAAGTTCCTTTCTGAAGGGGAGAAAACATCAAATGTTCAGTATTTGGATTTATGAATGGAGTAAAATATGTAGATGTACGTTTCTTACTTATTTCAAAATGTCTATCCTTCCATGGGCCCTAGCTGATGTTCCCATCGTCCCAGTTCCAGGGTTGCTTTAGAGATGGATTTTTCTTTGTAGAATTTAAGGGGGCACTAAAAATTTCAAGATTTAATAGTAATTATTTTAATTCAGCATTTAAACATCAAAATTAATGAAATGTTTCTACAATGATCACATTATCTTCACTCTCCTTGCCCTAACATCTAAAACATTATTTTAAAAAAAGTTCTGCTAAAGTTTCCCTAGTTGGGGGCTGGGGATGTGGCTCAAGCGGTAGTGCGCTCGCCTGGCATGCGTGCGGCCCGGGTTCGATCCTCAGCACCACGTACAAATAAAGATGTTGTGTTCGCCAAAAACTAAAAAAAAAAAAAAAAGTTTCCCTAGTTGATTGACTCTATATACGGCATGAAAATATGAACCGTGATTCCCAGTAAGTATCGCCCCAATCTGGCGGGCAGACTCTGGCTTTGAGTCTCCTAGGTAGCTTTTGGCTCCGGCTCCAGACGGAAGGGAAGGAGACTGGGAGAAAGCCAAAGGCGCCCTGTGATGTTCTCCTATTGCCCTGGAGAACTACGCACCTCCAGAGCAAGCCGCTTACCGTGCGAACACGTCGGGGTATTGAGTGCGTTGGAAAACGCGATCCAGTTCCTGCAGTTGCAATTGGCTGAACTTGTTGCAGAAGTCGCTCTGGCCGGTGTCTCCAGGCTGCGAACCCTCAGCAGCCTCGTGGCATGGTTCCTTCAACTGCTGCAGCCTGGGCTTCTCGTCACCGCCGCCCTTCTGGTTCACGGGGCCGAGAGCTCCCGCACCAGTATAGCAGACTTCTGCTGTTGCTCCCTGCTCAGATTCGGACCTTATCTTCTGCCCATGGTCGTCTCCACCCTTTACAATCACCGAGATCTTGGCCGGCTTCTTATCTGGAAAAGAGGGAAGTGGGGGGGGGGGGGGCGGGACGGGGAGAGATCACTGTGTTCAAGCCCTGGGCCACCACCAGTGAAGCGGAGGTGGTGGCAGCACAACAGCGTCCCACCACTCGCCTCTCCCAGATGGATTTTGCTTTTTTAAGAGTTCTCGCCAAAGCGTATGTCCCGGCCCAGGCACTGACCCTGAACTTTCTCCGTGAGCTCGCCTATTCCCAGGCTTTGGTAGCTGGCGTCCTCGGGGCTACACTCCTGCGGAGGGTCCATGATGTCAGTGCAGTCGATTAAGCTGTGTGCCACTGCTAAGTCTCCGGTGCCTAGTCTGGGTGATCGTTTGTTTGCACGCTATTAGCTAGACGACTACTATTCTTGTAATCTCCAGTCACACTGCGGTTGGTGGATTGGACCTCCTGGGATGCACACGGGGCTAGGGCGTGACCACAAAACTGGGGGGATGGGCGCGTAGGGGCGTGCCTATATGGTTATTGGGAGCTAAAAGTTGCAACTTAGAGTACTTGTGACCCGGGCGGGGTGACTGTCTGGAGGAAAGGGCTGTACCAGACTGCCCGTGTCTAGTACAAGAGTTCACGCCAAAGCAAGTGGATTTGGTGTAGGGGGAGGGGCGGAGGAGAGAAACCTCACAGTACCCTCCAGAAACCTTGGAGGAATGTTTGGAACATCTCTCCGCCCAGCCATCGATGCTGGCTCTCTGGCGTCTGGCAAGGTATCCTAAGCTCTTCAAGAGCGAGAGAAGCCAAGACAGAGCTGAAAAACCCGCGTCTAGCCCCTAGCAGCTCCAGCATGCTGAACAGAAGGCGTTGAGCCTTGTCACACTTAAGGTCTGTAAGCACCACTCTCCCACCTAGGACTCTGGTTCTGTTCCGTTTTCTCCCCAAATCCCTAAATCGGACTAGTAATTAAAGATTAAATGAATAGGTAGTAGGCTACTTGCAAAATTTTTGCAATTATGTACAGAAAGCTTAGCGCCCCAAGCTCTCCAGGGGGGTACGGAGGAGCGGAAGCTTGATATTGGATTTTCAGAGGATTCAGATGCAACCTGCAGGAAACCCAACACGCCCGCGTGCAGGACCTTGCCCAGTGCATCCAAGAATGCTTATGCTGCACTTGGCCCTTCCTTTGGACGCGACTGTGGAGTATGCAGTATCTGCTAATTTATGCTTCGCTCGCTCCCTTCGCTCCCTTCGCTGTAGACCTGGGGTAGTACACGCCTTCAGCTCTACGTCTCTCCCCCTCCCCCTCCTCATCCTTCTCTCCCCCTCCCCCTCCTCATCCTTCTCTCCCCCTCCCGGTCTTCCACCCCCTTCTTTTTTCTATTCCTCCCTTTAGATCTAGAACTGTCTTTCTAAATTCTTGCTCCCTATTGATAAAGGTTCCCCCCAAAGGGGGAGCAGATTCCCTTCAAAAAGTGTTTTGTAGTACCACGGGTCATGTTAATATCCCCAATATTGAGAATAGCTCCTAATAATGGGCCCTATGCTTGAAAATGCACATCATTTACCCCATCTTTACTTTCATAACCACGGTTGTCATCAGACTCATTTTATAAGGTAAATTAACCATTTTTTTTATGGACACACTATCTTTTTAAATGTGGTACTGAGGATCGAACCCAGTGCCTCACACGTGCAAGGCAGGTGCCCTACCACTGAGCCACAACCCCAGCCAGCCATTTTTATAAGCCCCTAAAAGTAAGGTGGACCCTACTTACTGGCCTACTGGGCTTAACAGATGGAAATAAATCTCTTATATTTCGTGTTTCCAGAGGATGATTAGAAAACTACCTATAGGATGGTTGATTTCTTTATTCTGAAAAAAACTGTGGAGTGATTTCACCCCCACAGCCTCTCCCTAACTTTAACCAACCTCCTCAGGCTGGCTCTTATTGGGTTTGGGAGGGCTCTGTCTCTCAGAGCTAGGTACCCTGCAATGATTTTTGGCCTATGACTTCAAATATTTGAAGTCATAAGAGAGAACTACAACACTTTTAATCATGGCTTTCATAAGCCTAGGTAGGACATCTATCAAAGTTTGAATCCTATGGTCTCTCACATCTGAGATTTCCATGATTTATTCCAGTGCTTTCTAAACTTCAATCATGTGCCCTTTTGTTGACTGTTGCCTGTCTGGGCACTAGCCAAGTTCGTTTCTTTTCTTTCTTTTTTTTTTTTTTAAAGAGAGAGAGAGAATTTTTTTAATATTTATTTTTTAGTTTTCGGTGGACACAACATCTTTGTTTGTATGTGGTGCTGAGGATCAAACCTGGGCCACACGCATGCCAGGCGAGCGTGCTACCACTTGAGCCACATCCTCAGCCCTAGCCAAGTTAGTTTTAAAGTCTTTAGTTAAATTGATGCAGACTTGAAAACACTACATACCTAATTTAGCTTTATCCAAGTAAAAATTGGCATGAATCACTCAAATTACTTAGTAATTGGTTTATATTAATACGTTTAACCCTCTTACCACCCCATAGGCATAGATGTATTATTACCTTCATGTTACAGAGTCACAGAGACATTAGGTAACCTGTTTATGGTCACCCAGTTTGGAAGATGGGATTTGCATCTGTCCTCTGAATACTAACCCGGACACCAAGGATATGCTCAATTATGTTTCCTGTTATGCTGTATGCCATTATCATCATATTTTGTAGTTAATTAACTAGAGATAACCAGAGATATATGTGTCTTTTCAACTCAAAATTCTCTTTACTGATTTAACTAGCAAATTAGTGTCATAAATATCTAATGGCACCTTGTATATTAGTAAGTAACCAAGGAATAAATGGTAATATCCAGAAAAAAATGAGTTGAAAACAAGACACAAAAGAAAAGTGGTTGAATTTAGTAAGTTAAATAACCATTCTTCTCAATAACACTGTATTCTTGTCTATTGTTGGAATACTTAAGAAAAATATTTGAAGTCATAAAGTTGAAAATCATAATTCACCATACTGATTTCCTGTTTCTTATTATAATAATTATCTAATATGATAGATTCTTGGTGACACTTATTTAATTGGACAACTAGAGATAATTAGAACATTGATTTGAAGTCTGGAAATTGGAAAGCACAGTCTTGTATACTATATTCGTATTTCTTGTTGGGATGTTGCCTTAGAACTACAGATAAGTAGTGAAACCTTATAAAAGCTAGATAACTAGGGAAAACTGGAAATAACTAAAATGACCAGTGTAAGCCAGGAAGTGAAAAAGCATCCTTCTTAACTCGGACATCATAGTTTTTTTAAGTGTAATGTGTTAATATGATAGATAAGTCACAGAATCTAGGGGAAAAGTCAACTACAAATAATTTATGACAACTAGTGTTATTACTTAAATCTAGGAAGATGAAAACCATATTCTTAATTCTACCTTCTAATTTCTTGTTGAAATAAGGAGTTGATATTACTGATAACTGAGAATATCCAGGGTACTAGTTAACTAGAAATAAGTAGAGATAAGTAGAAAAACACATAGGAACCCAGAATCTGGAAAACACATTTTTTTCTTAAGCTTAAATTCTTATTATAGTGGAATAATGAGTGAGTAGTGTGATCATGAAGTAGTATGTAGGTGATTAGTTAAATAAAGGTGACTAGAAAAGAATGGATATTTGACACCAGGAAGTTAATGAAGGCTTTATTCTCAATTCTAACTTTTATGTATTATAAAAATAACGAGGGGCTGTGTATGGGGTGAAGGTGGGAGTTCATAACCCACTTGAATCAAAGTGTGGAATATGATATGTCAAGAAATTTGTAATGTTTTGAACAACCAACAATAAAAAATTAAAAAAAAAATAACGAGGGGCTGGGATAATGGCTCAATGGTAGAGCACTTGCCTGGCACTTGTGAGGCACTGGGTTGGATCCTCAGCATCACATAAAAATAAATAGAATAATAGTTTTGTGTTCATCTATAACTAAAAAAATTAAAAAATAATGAGTTAATATTATTTACAAGTAATGGTACCTATTTATTTAATTACAGGGAATGAGGTATACATAGGACAACAATTTGAATCCAGGAAGTTTAAAAAAATCATCTTGTTGACACATTAATTTAACTATTGTTGCAATCATCTGTAATTGTCATAGATGAATATTGGTACCCAGGTAACTAGTTTATAGGGGATAGTTAGAATAACCAAGAAATCTGTTTGAGTACCGAAGTTGAAAAATTGTAGTATTATTCCTTACCACCCTAATCTTATGTTGGAATGAAGATTTAGTTATATGAATAATTAGTAATGACATATATACTAGTTAACTACAAATAACTAGTTGAAGCAAGAGTGTGAAATCAATCTTCTGAATATGAAATTCTAATTTCTGATTGAAATAATGTATCAGTAGTATAGATAATTAGGAGTAATCAGTTTACTAGATATCTACAGGAACTTCGAATTTAGGAGGCTGGGAAACACACTCTTTCCAATTGTTAATTCTTTGTTTTGGGAATGTAGAGTTAGTAAAGTAGATAACTAGATAAACTCGGATATGAGTTAAAGTGAAATAACCATATAAAAGCAGAACAAATAGTTGAAGCCTTCAGGCTACAAAAATTCTTCTCAAGTGTTAGTCTGAACATTTTTTGGAATAGGATGCTGTTTGTACTGTAACTAGTGGTACCTACATGTTAGTAACATAGAGATGGCTAGAGATATGTAGAATAAGTAATTGAAGTTTGAAGCTGAAATAAAGTTTGTCCTGGATTCTATATTCTTTTTATGTTTCAGTTGTATTAAGAAGTTAGCACTATAAATAAATAGTGGTACTTAGGTAAATATTTAACTAAAGCGTATTAGAACATCTAGTAGAAACCATGAATTAAAAGCATATCTACTATAGTTTGGATATGGTTTACCCCCAGAGATTGATGTGCTGGAATTTTGGCCCCCAATGTAATAGGATTGAGCTGGTGAGGGCTTTGAAAGATGTTGATTAGATCTTTAAGAAAGCTGCATACTTTGCCGAAAGCTGCCCCATAGGAGCTGAGCACGTACCCTTAGCCTTGATCGATGGAGATGTGGAACTGGCTTCTGACTTCCGCTCTGTGGGAAAGCAGGTGGACATCACTTTCGCTTGGCAGGGCAGTGAAGCTCTGGGAGTGGGCGTTACCCAATTGGAGTGGGCTGCCTCCTCATTCTTTTGTAATACTACCCTTTTGTCTTTTTTGGATGGAATATTCTATAGAACAGCTCTCCTCAGTTAAAACTAGGGTTCCGGGCGGGCGTGCTCTCGCTCTCTCCCTTGTTTTTTCTCTTGCCTCCCTTGTGGGAGCCTACAGCTGAGGCAGAGGAGCCTCATCCCGAAAAAGGTATTTTCTGTGTTTGTGTGATTTGTTCGTGCCAGCCCAAGTGACCCTGGTT